TACTTAAAGAAGGTACGTTAGGTCTTCTCCTTGGCACATTCTAATTTCCAGCATCACTACTCTTGCACTTTGGGGCCATTGTTAATTAAAAGAAGAGTTACTTGAACACAAGCACTATATGCCATGATAGTCGATCTGATAACCAAGACAGCTACTGAGTGACTAATGGGTGGACAGTGTATGCAGTGTGGAAACGCTGGACAAAGGGGATGATTCACGTTCTGAGTGGGATGGAGAGGAAGGGTCTGAGATTTCATCACACAACTCAAAACGGCATGCAATTTAAATGTTATGAATTATCTATTTCTGTACTTTATCATTTAATATTTTTGGATCATAGTTGACTGCAGAAAGTGAAAGCAGGAATAAATGGGGTGGGGGGGGGTGGATTACTATATTCTCAAGTCATAATATTCTGAGTTCAGGAATATGAAGCTTTGGAAAGGTCAGGAGTGGCCTTATATTAACTCATACCATCCTATGGTTGTTAGTTAAGAAGTGAAGATGGTTATCCTATATAATAAAAGGCAAATATGCAAATTGACCAAACAGCGGAACAACCACAACAACCGAACAACCAAACAACCAGTCACTGTGACATGCACTGACCACCAGGGGGCATGTGCAAAACATGCTGGGCATTGGCCGTAGCAGGATGGTGGAGCAGGTGAGCAGGGGTGCCAGACCAAGGCAGGGCACTGATCACTGTCATCGGGGTGAGCCTCTGATGGTTAATGAAAATTCTTTGCTCCCATGTGCCGCGGTGCCGCCTCACACTCACACCTGCTGTCAGCGCCAGCCCCGCTCACACCCATTGCCGGTGCTGGAGCCGCTCGCACCCGCAGCTGCCGCTGGAGCCGCCGCTTGCACCTGCTGCCAGTACCCGGCACCAGTCCTGATTACCCGGCGCCAGTCCCGATCACTCGGCTGCAGGCCTGATTGCCCCTGAGGGCTTTTCCACCTCCCCCTGCTCCTGAGGAGTGATCAGGGCAGCAGCTGCTGCTCACACCCACTGACAGCCCTGTCCCTGCTCACACCTGCTGCTGGCGCCAGCCCCTATTGCTCTGCGCTGTCAGCAGGTGCGAGCGGGCCTGGCACTATTAGCACATGGGAGGGGCGGGAGCGGGGCTGCTGGCAGACAGGGGACTGGGGGCCGTGGCAGGAGGGGCTGGCGGGGGGGATGAGGAGGATGGGCCAAGACCCACTTCTGTGCCTATGGCAGCCTCGCAGCCCACAGTTCCTTTTAAGGTGCACAAATTTGTGCAGTGGGCCTCTAGAAAACTATAAAAACTTCGGGTCTTAAACACATTTTTTAAAAGAATCTGTGTGTCATTAACTAAACCACAACTTCCTGTCATACTTATTAAAGAAACCAAGACCAAGAGACTATCAATAACCCTTACTCTGCACTATGGTTCAAAGTATGGAATTGGGTTCTTCAAATTGCAGAATATAGAAGAGAAAATTGACTGTGGCTAAGCCTAGGGAGAAACAATACATTTATTTATTATGAACAAAAGTCTCTACTTTTCTAATAATGTCAGAAAATTTAATAATTTAAATTAAGCTTTATTTTTAATTTTGTGTTTATTCCTTGTGTGGATCAAGTAGAAGAATATAGGTTTTCAAGTACAAATATACTACTGGTAGACATTATTGACTTGAATCCTAAAGAGGAACTGGAAGTAAACCTCACAGCTAAAAATGCGAAGGTTTTAATGACCATTATTTCTAAATTGCAATACTAAGATTAGTGGAAAATCAAAAGAAAACGTATACTGTGATAATAAAATTAGGCTTTACTCATAAACATTGTTATACATCTTATTCACTCATATATCTGTAAAATAAGAGGACTTATCTAGACAATCAAAAAGTGTTTAACCCAGTTGGCTTACATATAATACTATACTTTTAAATTCTATTTTAGTAAATACATGAAGTGTAATGCTCTATTTGTACATTGTAAAAAGCATGCTTATTTTTGTGTTAGCGTTGTATCGTGTAGACATCATAAAGTTAGCTGTTCTTGTGTAGAAATGCTAAGGTCTAATTTTCCTTCTATTCAAATGTGTTGAGCAATTTGCTTTCTTTGTAGAATATACATTTGTTGTGACCTCTTATTTTGATCAAAGAATTAAAGCCTTTAGGAATGAAAGCTTGAAAACATGTGTACAATATTTTAAATTCCCTGGATTGCTCAACATCGTTTTTTGTGAAAGAGGAAACATTTTAAGTGTTTCGGTAGCATCCCAATGAGCAATAATAGTCACCTCCTTGAAGGAGAAGGAGAGCGTAGAACAAGGAGAGTTTCTAATTCATTTTGTATTAAATATAGTAACTTGACATTTGCTTCTTTGTCCTTCTCCACTGTCTACAAAGTCTTGCCTTCCACATTATGGTAATCTTCCCTTCCATTGGCAGTCAGCTGTACCATGTATCACTCTGACTTGTAGATGTGTCTATTTGCCATAACTCTGATTTTGGAGATGTATAAAATGCCAAAACTCTAATAAAGGATATTTGAGAATAAAATGCACAATGGATTAGAAGTTTGTATTTAAGCGTTTAACCATATTTGCTTGTTTACAACATAATTGTGTCCACCCAAAATGGTGTGGATGTGTGTGTGTTTATATTTCTATGTCTTCAAATAAGACTGCTGAACTATAATCATATGGCTTTTTTTTAGAAAAATGTAGATATACTTTACAGATAACTGAAATTTTAACAAGTATATTTCTTTGTAATTAATTCTGTAACTTCATTTCTCCTTTTTAATATATTTTTATTGATTTCAGAGAGGAAGGGAGAGGGAGAGAGAGATAGAAAGATCAATGATGAGAGAGAATCATTGATAGGTTGCCTCCTGCATGCCCCCCACTGGGGATCGAGCCTGCAACCCAGGTATGTGCCGTTAACTGGAATCGAACCCAGGACCCTTTAGTCCGCAGGCCGATGCTCTATCCACTGGGCCAAACCAGCTAGGGCATGTCTTCATTTCTCTTAAGTAGAATTGGGTTAAGTATGTTGCTTAAACTTTGGCACACAGAAAATTGTCTCAGCATTCTTTCTTCATGATTTAAGCAGAGTTGAAAACTTGGAGTAATAAAATCCAACAAATACATTTTATCACTAAATAATGCTTTATCTTCTTAAAGATACTAGCTACTTTAGCTAGACACACTCCAGACTCACATTATTTAAATTTCACTCTTTGAAAACCCTTTTTATCTTTTTTATATATGATATAAGTTAAATTTATAAAACTCGTTCTTTGATATTCTGCAAAGGAAACATGAATTATTCTTTGACTTTGTCCGGGGAGGGGAGAGGCACCTCATTAATACTGTTAGCTTCCAGTGTGACCACACAAGCTGTTTCTGAGATTACAGCAGAAGAAAATATTCCACAGCTATTGTATTGCTGCTTGCTCTGTTCCCAGTCTCTTAAAATTCTAGGCCTTGATAGTACAGAGTTAGGTTCCTTGCTTACATAATGTTGATTCTGTTATTTCACTTTCTGAAAACAAGAGGTTACTGTTCACTGCCAAACAAACTGGGCCAGGGGTTATTCCCTATCTTTTGAAAGCGTTTACAAGAAATCGCTTACTAAACCATTTTTGTTTGTACAAAAAATTACATTTTATTCGTTAAGGATCACAAATGACCATATTTTCTTGTTTTGTTTTTTTAAAGAAGTCTAAGCAGAGCGCAAAATAGTACAGATCCATTTAGAAAGTTGGGGGCAGAGGCATTTGTTAAGGAACAATGGTAGATTCTCTTTGAAGGCTGTCCAGGAAACAGATTTGATGTGAAGTACTATTGGACAGCTTCCCTCATATCCAGCTAGTAGTGTTACTGACTGGTTTGTCAGCTTTTTTCCTTTATTTTATTTTTCTGCTTTCTGTCATTGGTTTGTAAGCAGTTTAAGATTAGAATCCTGTCATCTAATTCGTTGGTATCTCCCTCCACCAAGAAAAGGAGTTTTGAATGAGGTAGATGCAATAAATGTTGATGACATAGGTTATTTATTCAGGCAGGAGTATGAACCTTCATTAAATAGATGCAACTAATCAAAAGAAGACAATACAATCCAGCCCCTTTCTTTCTTTTCAATCCTGGAAGTTACAAAGATTTAAGTAATTTAATGCTGTGGCATGACTATGAGGCTGGGAGATGGAAATTCTACCCTTAGTTCCAGGAGCTAGCTATGCGACCTTGCTTTGCTTTGAAAAGTCAAATCTCAGAGGAAAGGAAAGGAGGGTGGGGGGGAGGGGGTAAGAGATCAACCAAAGGACTTGCAGGCATCATATAAGCATGAGCTGGGGGGTGGAAGTGGCCAGGGAGAGGTCAAGGAGAGAAAAGGGAGACATATGTAATACTTTAAAAAACTTAAATTAAAAAAAAAGAAAAGTAAGGGTATTGGACCCATTGGTTTTTAATTTACCCTCTAGTTCTAAGACTAATTCTGTTCTAATGAAGGGCACTAGAATTTTCTTACAGTAATTGCCTAGGCCAGGTAATATTTCTCTTAAATCTCTATAACTTAGGACAAGATCCACTGGCAACATAGACTGAAATCTTAGTACCTATACATTTTAATTCCACACAAAGGTGTAATTAAATCTAGAAGTTTGGGCTCATAATAGTTGTTGCTTATTAAGGTTTTGCTTCATTTTTACAACATAATATGATTTTACTTTTTATTTCCACCGTTACCAGCTGTCAATAGTAAGATTACCAAATTGGCTAATAGTTATAAACAATAGTCTTAATTTCTATACCCATGCAGCAAAAAAGCTCAATCCATATATGATGCTCATGTGCCCTATGTCACCTTCAGTGTTGTCAGAATCATGCAGATTTCTGGGTGAAATAGCCAGTAAATTGCCACAATAAACAGACCCCTCCCTCCACCCCCGCAACAAACAGATTGCTAACACTCACTGTTGATTATAATGTGAAAACAATGTCATCTAGTTTCTATTTCTTTTGCAGGGTATCCTTGAAGATTAATTAGAAAATGTCCATGTGCCTATAAAGGTAGGAAAAAAATCTTTCCTGATTATAAACTATGTTGTGTTTGTTTTATCCAAGTTTCAATAATTTACTCCTCTTGTTAGATGTAGATAGAATTGATGTTGTTTATTTTGAACAACTGAAAAGTGTACTAGATCTACTCACTTGCTAAACTTGAAATCATCCAACACATAGTGTCGAATCTTCAGTTTGAATTTTTCTCCATACTATTACATATTATATATTACTAGAGGCCCAGTGCAAGAAATTTGTGCACATAAGAAGGGGGGGGGGGGCCTCAGCCTGGCCTGTGCCCCCTCGCAGTCTGGGAGCCCTCGGGGGATGTCTGACTGACTCCCTAAGCTCTGCTGCAGAGGCGGGAGAGGCTCCCGCCACCACTGCTGTGCTCACCAGCCGTGAGCCTGGCTTCTGGCTGAGCAGCACTCCCCCTGTGGGAGCACACTGACCACCAGGGGGCAGCTCTTGTGTTGAGTGGGATTGGGCTGAAACTAGCTCTCTGACATCCTCCCAGGAGTCCCGGATTGCAAGAGGGTGCAGACCAGGCCAAGGGACCCCATTGGTACACGGTCGGAGCCAGGGAGGGACTCGGGAGGTTAGCCAGCTGGGGAGGGATTGTGGGAGGGCTCCAGGGTGAGTCCGGCCTGTCTTGCTCAGTCCAGATTGGCTGGACCCCAGCAGCAAGCTAACCTGCCAGTCAGAAAGTCTGCCCCCTGGTGGTCAGTGCACATCATAGCAAGTGGTTGAGCGGCCTTAGCATATCATTAGCATATTACACTTTGATTGGTTTAATTGACCACTGGACGACCAGACACTAAGCATATTAGGCTTTTATTATATAGAAAGGTAGTTTATGTTTTACTGTCACAAAATTTATTCTTGCTTTAACATTTCTGTATTATCATTTCCATAATTTTAGGGTAGTTCGACATTAGTGTATGTGATTTCCATATATCAGAAAGGCAATTTTATAATACATACATTAACATATATTAATATATGTAATATATTGTTACAAACTGAGATTCTCTCGTCCACCATAATTTTACTTTTTTGTTTGCTATTGTAAACCCGTAATTTCTTAAGGGACAGGCAAAGTAACCATAAGTATAATTAGCCATCATTGATTTAATAATATAAATGCATTTACTTTTAATTTACTTTTAATAAAAGTGTCAGAAAAATGTGTCTCTTCTCTTGGCTACAACTTATGTGCAAATAAATTTAGAATTTCTAGTCTAGTAAATACTTTCTCTGATAATAGCTTAATTGTAGCTATTTCAGACCAAATTGTTTAATTATGGTGAATCACATGCAAATTGTTCAGATGTAGGTCAGCTTCCCACTCCTACATTCTAGCACCTCTTTGCTAATTCAGGACCAATTGCTTGATGCCTAAAAAAGGCAAAAGAGTCGATTAAAGACAAGACAAAAACCAGAACTACAATGCATAAAAACCAACAGTGGGCCGGGAGTCAGCATGTTCTCATAAAAATGTCAGGGCAGGTTGCATTTATTTAGGCCTTTGTTGATGATCTCTTATGTTTGCTGTGTGTTTGTACACAATGGTGTGCTCATTGCTCGTGAGTTTGTGGCTGGCAAAGCATGGTGCTTCTGAGATGAAAATTCCCTCATATGCAAAATAATATCATTCTTGTTCACTTACTGAACATCCAGTAAAACAAGAAATGTTAATGGAATAGTGACTCATCAAATCTGATATGGAAAGAGCATATTATTTTTCGTGATCTGGTTGAGTGACAAAAGAGTAGGTCTCACTAGTGAGAGAGAATACCTTGCATGTAGCTCTGGGTGAGGCCAGCTGAGCCATACTGCAGCAGTAGGAGCTAAGGAAATCCTTTGTTTTCCTGTTACATTATAGCTCTAATCTATAGTTGCCTTTGGTGATGGAACATTGTACCCCTTTTGGCTGTATGGCTGAGGTTTCATGATACTATTTCATCTTTATATGTTGTCTACTATAATTTCAAAGACAAAAATTTATTTCTGGTTATGAAAACATTGAAAAGCAGATTGATGAATTTGTTGCATTTTCTGCCTTTTATTTTTTGGTGATTATTTCTGCTGTTTTTGATATATTGACAGAAAAATGTGAGCCTTGCTGGTTAATTATTTGACACTAAACCTAATAAAATTAGAATTCTGCCTTAATATAGACATAGTTTGTTTTTTAAATTATAATTCTTCACTGGAATTTGATTGTTCAATAAAATTGAATTTATATTTTCATATAATTTGATTTTTAACATTTTCATAAAATTTATTTTGAATTAAGTTATTCATTCTTGAAGAAATATTGTAGAATTGTTGAATTAAGTTACTGAATTAAAAAGTGGCAGCAATTTTTCTAATTCTTAGAATGGGGGAAATAGATGGTGACTACTTTGTACTTCTTTCAATATAAATATTTTTGTTGTTTGAATTATTTAAAATATAAAATAGAGATTTATATTAAATAGAAAGTAACATCTTTCTCAAAGTTAGCTACTGTTAAAATTATGGTATTTATTCTTCCAAATTCTTTCTAAATATACACAAACATCAGTATCAATATGTGCACACAATGCTTCCATACCATATGCATGATTCTGTGTTTTTAACATTTTAATTATGAACATCCTTCTAAGTCAATGTGTATTATCTATTTCATCTTTTTTAATGGATGCATATTAGGCAACTTTTTTTGATGTCGCATGATTTATTTAATAGGCTCTCTAAACAGTTTTTTAAAATAGAACTCTGAAATAGAATGAAAGATGGCCTTCCTTAATTACACTTTTGGCAGGCATACAAAAGAATAATTTCCATTTGAACAATAAATCAGGAAATTAAGGAGTGAAGAAAAAGTGTTACAGTAAAGAGGCACAAAAATATTTTTAGGTAAGTGCCCATAAATGGTCAGGGGAAACAAAGGCTAATGATATAGATCATGCCACTGTGTTGGATCTATATAAAATTAAATTCTAATTTTCTCAAGGTTCACTCAAAATGACACCTCCTTCCATAAACATTCAGAGATTCTTCTCTTCCTTCTCATTCTCACCAATTGTCTCACATCTCCATAACACTAGGGGAAAAGTAGATATCATTTTATGTCACATACAAAAATTCATCTGGCATGTATCTTTTTGTCCCAAATGGACTGTGAAGCCCTAGAGGGTGATGAGTGTGTGTTATTCATCTTGGAGTCTAGCAGATGCTTAATAAATCGTCATTCAGTTCAATTGGGTTGAAGTGTGAGAAAGGGGAGAGATCAGGTGGAAATGTTTCGTCTTACCGAAATTTTATAAGGTGTCACTATCTGCCTCTGTATTTTAAATTACAGAGTGAATGCTAATAAATTCTTGTGGTGGATGAGATACATACAAAAAAACAGTTTTGATATAATCATGTTCAAAATCATACTTACAAGTCTAGTATCTCAGAAAAATATTTATAATTTATGAAAAAAAAATATTTGGATGGTGCTGAACTTATTTATATACTAGAGGCCCAGTGCACGAATTCGTGCACCAGTGTTGTCCCTCACCCTTGCCTGTGGGATCAGCCAAAACCAGCTCTCCGACATCCCCTGAGGGGTCCCAGATTGCGAGAGGGCGCAGGCCAGGACAAGGGACCCCACTGGTGCACGATCAGGGCCAGGGAGGGACAAGGGAGGTTGGTCAGCCAGGAATGGACCATGGGAGGGCTCCAAGGCATGTCCAGCCCATCTTGCTCAGTCCTGATCAGCCAGACCCCAGCAGCAAGCTATCCTACCAGTTGGAGTGTCTGCCCCCTAGTGGTCAGTGCACGTCATAGAGACTGGTCAACTGGTTGACTATCTGCCCCGTGGTGGTCAGTGCATGTCACATAGCGAGTGGTTGAGCGGCCTTAGCATATCATTAGCATATTACACTTTGGTTGAATGGACAACCGGATGACCAGGCACTAGCATATTAGGTTTTTATTATATAAGATTACCTCGCATGGATCTAAAAGCACTTAGTTTGAAAGCATTATATGCATGTAAGAATTATTATTATTATTATTATTATTATTATTATTTTAAATGCTATTTTTATTGATTTCAGAGAGGATGGGAGAGAGAGATGGAAACATCAATGATGAGAGAGAATCATTGCTTGGCTGCCTCCTGCTCACCCCCTACTGGGGACCAAGCCCACAGCCTGGGCATGTGCCCTTCACTGGAATCAAACCCGGGACTCTTCAGTCCATTCTATCCACTGAGCCAAACCAGCTAGGGCAAGACATTATTATTATTTATTATTATCATTATTATTATTATTTATTATTATTATATTTAAGACAGTAATAAAGTTGGCTCTGTGGATTAAAATATAGATGGTTATTTACAAAATAGAGATAATACATAAAAGAAACAATTCTTTAGATGAATTCTGTTACAAGAAAGAGAGCATTGTTTTCAGTACGTCATAAAATGCTAGTTGTTACTGATGCCATTAAATGAATCTTGGACATTGTCTCAACCAGCAAAAGTAGTTATAGTTTGAATTATGCTTGAGGGGCTCTATAATTCCATATGAGTCTGAATTCAATGGCAATGTAAATTTAAAATAGCTGAACAGATGTACCAAGTTCACTTTCCTTTACAGAATTAGGAATTAGTTGATATAAAAGTTTCTTTTGAAACTGAATGTAATACTTAGTGCATCATAGGTGTTTTTTTTTTCATTCCCCTCCCCCCCCTTCTGATTTGCAGAAGCCACTTTCCCCAGCTCTGGTTTTACATATTTTTTTCCTGGTCAAGTAGGTAAGGAGAAAAGGATCTTGGTCAGTCTATTCTAAGAAAAATACTAAGCTTGTTGATAACCTTTACTTGATGAGAATGTGAAACTTAGCATTTGAAATGCATACTTTGTCCTCAAAGAAGTCGGTGTCTTGTTCTCAAAGAAACCAATGTCTTCCCACTATTTGGCCAGGGTTGCAAATGTAAATACCTTCAGGACCCATGGATACAATAAAAG